GTTGCATGTCACACTGCTGCTCTCTGTAAAATCCCTCTGGACTTGCCATTCTTCAAACATAACCATCTCACCTGAAGTTATTACATCTTTCAATATTATTCTCTGTCCTACTTCAAAACATGACATTGTTTGGATACAAGTCTTGTAGGCCTGGGCACCATATAAATAACAAATGGAACATTTTAATTAAAAAATTCAGGATAAACAATAATATCAAACTGTAGCCCCCCACACACATGGCAGCAGCAAGCAGAGCACTTACAACTTTTTATACATAAGAAAAATGTAACATCATGAACAAACAATATACTGTACGGTCAAACAACCAGCACTAAACTTGCTGATGGGGCTGGAGAAGGGTGATATTGATCATCCTTTTGTAGCAAAAGATTTCATTATGATATATAAATGCTGCATACTGTGTAAATGTTTACATACACTGATATCTTTGCATTCAATTCAAGAAGAAGGCTGAACTGAAAGGCAATTCAGAATTTTTTGTTATCTTGCTCTGTGTGTAGCCTAAGCCCACTTCCTCGGCAAAGATGATAATCACTCGTTAGTCACCATCAGATTTTGACACTGAGTTGCTTGTCTCATTTTCAAGTTTTGGTAGAAAAGTGGTTAGAACAGGCCCACTCATTTACCAGAGTGCCATGTATAATTCTTTTCAACGGACTCGAAATTTTGCATCGTCTCCTCAAGTGTCTTCATACTGTAGGAACCAGAATCCTTGGGTTTGACACCAGTGTTTGATGGTTATATGTATTCATATCTACATCCCAAAGAGGGAAATGGCCTGCTTATTCTGGCTACAGTCCTTACCTGCAGTGGCAGATCTACATGGTGGCACAGCTGGCACCCCAGTTTTAAGTGAGGTAATTATTATATAAATCAAACTCAACATAATTAATATTTAAGTTTTAGAAGAGTTTTCCTGACTTAAAGCATGTCAGACATAATCTCCTGAGCTCAGAGTACTGTGTCGGCTAGCCCTCCAGGAAATTATGGTCTATTCTACTTTAGCCTCCTCTCCCCTTCCCGTCCATTAGCTGCAAACCTGTCAGTGAGACAGGTAACGTTAAAAAATTACATTCTTATCATGTAAACATAGTTTACAGGAATCAATAAAGTATGAATTAGTTAATTATGTTGTTTCTCTGCATCCTCTATAGGGTTGGGCGATATATAATATAATAATATAATATATATATAATATATATATAAGGGTGGGCCAACTCCATATATAATATGGAGTTGGCCCACCCTTAACATCTATAACAGCTTCAATTCTTCTGGGAAGGCTGTCCACATGGTTTAGAAGTATGTTTGTGGGAATTTTTGACCATTCATCCTGGAGAGCATTTGTGAGGTCGGGCACTGATGTTGGACGAGAAGGCCTGGCTTGCAGTCTCTGCTCTAATTCATCCCAAAGGTGTTCTATCGGGTTGAGGTCAGGGCACTGCAGGCCAGTCAAGTTCCTCCACACTAGACTCGCTCAACCCTATCCTTATGGACCTTGCTTTGTGCACTGGTGCACATTCATATTGGAACAGGAAGGGGCCATCCCCAAATTGTTCCTACAAAGTTGGGAACATGAAATTGTCCAAAATGGCTTTGAATGCTGCAGCATTAATAGTTCCTTTCAATGGAACTAAGGGGCCAAGCCCAACCCCTGCAAAACAACCCCACACCAAAATCCCTCCTCCACCAAACTTTCACTTTACACAATACAGTCAGGCAAGTACTGTTCTCCTGGCAATTGCCAAACCCAGACTCGTCCTTCAGATTGCCAGTCAGGGAAGCATGATTTGTCACTCCAGAGAACACATCTCCACTGTTCAAGAGTCCAGTGGCAGTGTGCTTTACACCATTGCATCCGACGCTTTGTATTGCACTTGGTGATGTAAGGCTTGCATGCAGCTGATCGGCCATGGAATCCCATTCCATGAAGTTCTCTACATACTGTTCTTCAGCTAATCTGAAGGCCACACGAAGTTTGGAGGTCTGTAGCTATTGACTCTACAGACAGTTGGTCAGAATTAAACTTAAGCAATAAATGTGGCATAAACAAACTATACCTGTACACCTGAAAGAGTACAGTTTTTCCTTTGCTTTTGTGTTTTTCCCCTCAAATTTTCCTTTAGCATTTCCATGCCAGTCTCTTGCTACCCATGCAAAATCCACCCCTGCCTACTTGTATTTATATTGGAATATCGGTGGTATCCTATAGTCAAGCAATCCTTATAACTAAATAAACGTAGATATTTCTAAAATTCTGTCTTGCCATTTAAACATATTGCAGCACCGGCGGGGTGAATGTCCTAGAATGCCCCATATACAATTGTAAATAGCCTCTGTCTGTAATTGTACATAGCCCTTGTTTTATGGTTGTTGTTAATTGTTGCATTTTCCTATTGTTGCGCATGTGTTTGCCTGTATCTTGGTGTTTACCGTCCGATCCTTGCGTGTATTAGCTTGTGTAGATCTCCCACCGTTTGTGCACCTTCAGCATCTGACAACTTTGTGTTTCGACTGTGTGTATTTGTTTCGGTGCTCATTGGGTGCCTGTTATAGTCCTGTTAAGGACTGCTAAAAAAGAGCTTGTTTTCCCCGGCAAGCAAGTCTCCTTGTCCTTCTCTGCTCCCATGACGCCTCCATCCGCCTGGCACTATAATATTCTGTACTGAATAATTTAACAAGGGAATACAGTGGTAGTTATTTATCATTAACAAGCAATAGCATCCATTACTTAGTCAGAGAAACCTTTGAAGATCATTCAGTGGACTTTTTCTACGGAAATTTGAATGATACAGACTTGTTATTATTATCTTAATATTCTGCTCATACTGACCAGATTGAATTTCCAGGTTGCAATCAGTAACTACTTTTGACTGAGAGGTTGTGACTGAGAGCTTGTGGCAAGCAGGTTAAACGGTCAGTGTGACATAGATAATATGTGTGGTGCTGGCTCTGAGTGGGTGGGCTTGACCTTTCTGCCAAAGAACTGAGCAAATATTAGGCAGCTCTAAGTATGCATCGCTGATGCATGGAAGCACAGGCTTCATATTGGGCAGCTAGGGGTGATAGACACTCCAATTCTGGCTCAGTATTCATCCAGCACTGCCACCTGTGTATGATCAGATGGGTCACAGATCAGGGCCCATGACACTGCACCTGTCACCCAAAACAACCTGTTTGGTCCATGTCACAGTCAAACTTCACTTTCCCTCTCCAAATTGTAAATGAGATCATAGCTCTCTTCAATGGCCTTTTGCTAGATGAGTTTAGCCAAAAGTGTTCCGGTTCTTAAAAGAAGGACTAGACTCCTCAGTAAACATATTTCACAGCTGAAATATTTTTCAAGTGTGTTACAAGGCTGCAGGGAAAGGCTTTCAGACAGAAACACACAAGCTGCTTTGTGTTTTCTCTGGCATCTGTTTATACTGTACTCAAGTGACTTTCATATGCCATTTACAGTGTAGAGAAATATTTATTCACTGATCTCTTTCATATTATCTGAAATGTTATTTTACTAATGACCTACCGCTCACATATTAACATTTTCCTGTACAATTTTCTCAGAACTTATCTTTTAACATATTCTTTCCAAACACAAGCATCTTACAAAACATTATATTCCATCCATCATCCATGCTTCATAATCTCTTATCGAGCTCATTGTTGTAGAGAGCTCAGAGAATTTCTACAACATAGCTCTTAACTAATAACATTTGCATGCACAGAATTATGTATCATTTAATACTGTTTTATTATTTACATTAAAGCATGGAAAAACATGCAGTTAGTTAAACATCAGTAGCAGTTGTCTCTAAAACAGTCTGTTATTAATCCATTTGCTTTTTCACCATTTTCTATTAAAATCTAGTCTCCTGCTGCTTCTTCTCATGTTCAAAAACATGCTGTGCCAGTTAGTTTTACTGCCATGCATTGTCACTAGTTTGCTTATCCCTGTGGGAAGCAATCATATAACAAACAGGAAGTGAATTAAAATAGCAACTGATTGACAGCCCACTGTGGGTTAAAAATTTTTGTTCTTCCATTCACTTCCAGCTACTCAAGAGGTCCTTAATCACTCTTCTTCACTTTACTTCTTTCAGTAGACTGTGTTTAAAGCACTGCATTAAGTTTGATGCATTCAATCCACTGCTTTTAAGCCACTGTCTATCTCTTTAAATGCTTGCTGTTAGATCGAGAAAAAAAATAAAAATACTTAGGTATTGATTTAATTGTATGTTTGTTTACATTTTTATTATCACCTATGATGGGGAAGGTTTAAAAAATTATATATGGAAGACTAATACTTTTAGTTTCCATGTGCTTAATTTACTTATAGCTCATTATATCTGTATTATAACTCACTGCAGAATGCTGTAATGCCTTTTTTTGATACAGGACATGCAGGAGCTTGTGGTTCTTTTAAATTACCGGACTGCCCCAGATCCATAAGATGCCATTTCTTGATTATTAACACAAGGTTTCCCTTTGCTGAGAGTAATTACACAGTATCTGCCAGGGGCCACGTGTCAACCAGGTGCTTCACATTGTCCTTTTCTCATGAAGAAACAGGAAGAAACTTGTCCCTATATGAGAAAGATCCCCAGGCTTCTCGGGGGTGTATTTCCTGGGGAATTGAGGTTGGAGTGGCTGGATATGACTGTCTGGAGGAGGAGGGGTGATGGGCCCCATAACAGTCCAAAGATCTCCCGCTGTCTAGGCAACATCTGTGTGCAGACACGGAGACACAGCCTATAGCAGCCAGCCTGCCTGCGAAAGCAAGATGCTAGAGAAACTGCAAACCACACGAAAGAGAAGGACCACATCAGCCACATCAAGAGCAGTGGCTGCATGGTGGTTAAACATGCTGAGGTTACGGGTTTGATTTCCTGTGAGATCTGCAGCTGTATAAATTGCAGGTGGCTTTGAGTACAAACAAAAACTACGCAATGATGTGACTTCTGTGATTGTTTTTTTTCCAGAAAAAAGGTCATTTTGAGAAGAATGAAGTTAAGGACAAGAACAAGAAGAACAGCATAGTTGGTCCACCTACTTCTGCACAGCTTATAATCACCCCTCCATCCACTCAATCTAGTCTGTATCAGGGCCTTCTAGTGGTCAGGGCCTGCAGTGCACCTAGTGAACTTGGACCACTTCTGACACTAATTCAATGGGACTGACACATAGAAACCCATAGGAGGACATGGGAAGTTGGGCAAAGAAGACTGGAGGACTCACAAAGTAACCCCACCCCCCCAGCCATAGTTCTTCAGCTGTCCGTGTCATTTGCACTAGTGAGTCTAAGTTTGTAAACTGAAGTATTAGCCCCAGTTATATTGATATCAATAGGTCTTGGGGGAGAGGTCAGAGAATAACATGATAAACTAAATCACAAAATCAAAGTAAACTTTTAAAAGTCCCACCTTATTTTAGTTATTTGTGTACTTTGGAACAAAAAAAAACATTTTAGACCGTGGAGGTGCGTCTGTTCTGGCCTATGTCTCCCAAAGACTTGCTTTTTATAGCCTCTTATAAATATAAGGATTATTTCTTTTACAAACCTGTGCTAGAGTAAAATGTGCTGAGGGTTTCGACCAAAAGGGTCGTTATAGTGTCGGATAGCCGAAGAGAAATTGTGCTAAATGTTGTCTGTGTTGCCGTTGCCGTCTTGTAAGAAAAGTGTGTTTGGATGTGACGGTAAACATTTACTCACTGAGGTTGAGGTTTTTTGCTGTTGAAAAAGTAGCAAAACAAAATGAGTGTGTCAGTAGAAAACATCCGTGAAACAACCCGGATTTATTTTTCGGCTATGAAACCTAAGCTCAGAGAGAATAAAAGTGAGACACAGAGAAATAGATGAAGACATCCCTGGTAATTTAAGAGTCCTGCTCAACAAGCAGAAGTGAGTGCTTGGCATCCTGGGGCAGCTTTCTTCTGAAGTCCACTCACTGATCTCGCCCAGGCTGTCAGTTTTAATGAATGTACCCCTGGCGCTTGCTGCCCAGAGACGAATCAGCATCAAGGGTAACTGTGGGCCCAACTCTAAGGAATGGAGCGCTCCTCTGCAGAGAGGCATTGCCAAGTGAGACTGTGGCCGTGAGCTTGGGGTACCCATCGTGGACGGGGGAACTTTCTAAGGGTGAAGGAAACGCTGGCAGTGTTTAACAAGAAAACCTGAGACTCTGGGCAGCTGGTGGTTCTTCCAGTCACCAGCATCCATGGTTCGGGTTAAAAGGCAGTAGTTATTTACTGCAGAACAGGTGGGCCGTGAACCACTTATGCCACCATGAAACACATAATGGTTGCCGAGCTTATCATATCAGGGAGAACCTGCGGCATGTCTGATGTTCACAGCACTTGAAGGTGAGATCACAGCTTTTTCTTCCAGGCTTTTTTGGGGCCTGACACGTTTCTGACAGAAATGTCTACTGCGTTTCCATGTGACAGACAACAGAACCAGTGGGGTGCAGAAGATATTTAGGAGAGCCACATGTCACCCTCAGATGTCCACTGGCAAGCAGCTGCTGGGATGATGTTAACAGCTCCTATCCACGACTAGGTTCATTCACATGTTGACCGCAGGCAGGCAGGGCCATTGCATTGGCATGTCACATGACCAATGGCACATTGATACTTATGTGGATAAGAAGCTAGTCAGGTGTATCACAGCAGAACCAAGCTAAATGAATTGTGGCAGAAATGTTTTACATGGGCTGCAATAGTAACTATTTAGAGATATCACTACAATAGCATCTGCTGTCTTTGAGCTCCTTAGCGCCGTCCCATCTGGTACGAGTGCAGTATCTGGGTGCCTGCTGACTAACTGAAGGGCTGTTCCCAGTTCTGGCTCTGATTCAAATCCGCCTCACCACCAGCAATAATGCGAAGATTGTGGACCCAAAGTCCTCCTTGTACTTTGGCAGTCATTAACACAGTCTGAATATTTGTAACTTTCCCCAATCCTTTGGAATCCTTTTACCAAGTTACCGTGTTGAGGAATGGTAACCCACTTCAGATTAATATGGGCCTCAGATTAATATGGGTCCTCACCACGAGGAAACAGCACAGGAGGCAAAGGGGGTTTAAAAGCTGCTGGCAAAGGTATTTAATTGTTTCAGAGGAGGCGTGAATGCTGGAGAGCAGAGAAGGCCTGGCGTAGAGTGCTGTGTGGACTGTGCTGCTCATGAATGGAGTTTTGGGGTGGAATGATACAGTATGTCAGTCATACATAAACCTGGCAACATGGCCACATGTGTGCTCCCTAATGACTTCATCATTCCCCGAACTTCTGGAAGAGGTGGGATGTTTGACAATGCAAACCGCTCCAAAATCCAAAAAGGTTTATTTCAGTTGACCAAATCGACCATTTACCCAGTACAGAGTTCATACATCTTTTTTTTTATTTTTTTTTTAAATGTAATTTAAATGATCTAATAAAAATAAGGAACACTGGGAGTATTTGTTGTGTAAGTACCTTTTCAGTTGTATGTCTGTACATTCATCCCCCCAAAGGGGTTCTGGTGTGACCCTCATCAACAGGGTTAGAGTTAGTAATGTGGACATTGCATACTGTGTCACGCAGGGCACATGGAGGTCAGGTGGGTAAAGTGTCACCCAACAGAACACACACGCACATGTATGGACTCTCATTTTAGATCCTCTGAAATGTTAACGACTGAATAAATTTCCATCAACGTGCATTAGAGACGGCGGGTCGTTGTTGCTGTCCGGATTGTCCGTGACTCCTTTGAGGTTACGTCTGGTGGACAGAGCCGTCCCTGGTGTGCAGCAGGAAAAGGGTCTTCAGCCACAAAGCTGCCATGGTAACAGTTGCCTTACAGTAATCTGCACCTGCTCTCAGAAGCTTTGTACAGTATATCAATACAGGGGTTGGTGTTCATACATATCTAATTTTGTGTGTTTTATTACTAGATAGAATGTACAGTTTGAGTCAAATTGTAATTGCAATAGTTAACTTTGTACTGTTACAACAGAGAGAAATAAAGATCTATCTTTTCCAGTGTGTTACCCTTGGTTGCTTGTCTTTGTACTTTCTAATAATACTGCTGAACACTCAGAAAAAAAGTCCAGATTCCCACACAAATAAATTACCATACACATATTCTATGCTATTTTCAGAAAGCAAAAATTTATGTCATGCATAATGACACCCTACATATCAATTTAGCATCTGCTGCACATGGAGAAAATCCAAGATAATTTGCTGTATATTTAGAGTCACTGTTAGATGACAAATATAGCTTTAATGTACAAACTGTCAGCATGATGAATATTTGCATAAGTGGACTTGCACACCAGCCATAGGCACCCAAAGCGTGGCTGCAGATCCAAATGTGTCGCAAAGCTAGAATCTGTATTCCACTCACAGCAACCCATCTCTTTAAAGTCTATCTGGATGGATTAGCTCACCTTCATGGGATGATCAAGGAGGATGCACTGTTCCCAAAGGAGCAGCGGCATTCCAGCATGTGCCAGTCTGGTGTTGGCTGCAAAGCAAGAGCTCAAGGTTTCAAAAAGATGTTGCTCAGGACACCCAAAAGAGGGTGATGGTGGCTCCAAGATGGATGGAATCCATCACAAAAACCACAGGGTCATTGTTACGATAACAATAACTCTTAAGATCACACCCTCTCAGGGCGCCTCTCAAAACTAGTTTACAGGAAACTGGGCAACTCCATTTGGAAAAGCTAGGACCTGTAGCTTAACCAGCTGCAGCGGTCTTACCATGCAGCCCAGTCTGTCTGTAATAACCCTCTGGAATTACAGGGTTGGATGAACACACTCGAGATAAGGAGTCAGACATGAGTAAATCATGAAATTTGGGAAATACTTGAAGTCAAGCTTCCTCATCATACATCACAGTATTGGGAAGCAAAACTCTTCACATAAAACAATGGATAACTTTCTCTAAATTTCTAAAGCTTACAGTGCTCATACATTTTCTCAAAGTTTATCCCATGGACTGTGTGACTTTTGGAAATTTGCTCTTCAATTTGAGCCCCATTATGGTTAATCTACTTACTGGGTGATATTTGTGGAACAGGGGTCACCAACATGGTGCCTGTGGGCACCAGGATGCCCCCAAGGACCACATGAGTCGCCCACGGACCTGTTCTAAAAATAGCACAACTCACCAGTGAGCAGCGTGTAAAATTTAATTTTATCCTGCTGCTACTCTTCTTCAATCACATTTGCATTTATATAGATTTGAAAATGACAATATCTAAAAAAAGCATATAAAACATGTTTATTATAAATGAAGTTTAGATAAGTTTAGGAGGGCGTTTCAAACTGGTAGCCCTTTGTATGGCTGAGTACCTGTGAAGTAGATCTCAGTTTCAAAAAGGTAGGTCACCCCTTTTGTAGAAAATACAGCAACTGACTGCAATATGTGTACAGTGACCTAGAAATGCATGTGTACAGCCACCCCATTATAATCCCCCAACTCCTAATTTTACAATTGTGTTTAATGTGTGTACCCATTAGCACTTTCTCCATATGTCTGGGATGCCAGTTCATTACAGGAAGCCCTATGGGCAATTCAGAGATATCAGTTAGCTGAACTGCATGTTTTTGGGCTGAGGGAGGATTATATAGATTTGGATTTGAACCGCAAAAGCCATAGTTGTGAGGCTGTGAGGTTGATAGTGCTCTTCACTATCCTGTCCTCTGTAAGAACATTATTAATAAATTGCCTTTCTGAGTATTTCAGTCCATTCTTCTGACAGAAGCTAAATCGAGGATTGTATCTGCATTACTTAAAACATTTATCTACAGTAAGTGGTGTCTATTCTCCACCATATATTCACACTCCCCTCCGACCCCCCCACCCCTGAACCCTTTCTAAACGTGCCATCCACGTCAGGCCAGCCAATTTAGGCAAAATATTTTCATACCATTGCAGAGTTGAAGCAAAATGACTGGAATGTGCAGCTACAAAAAAAAGGGAGGGGGGGTGGTTGGGAAATAAGGGCTATGGCTATGTTATTAGAATGTTGTATGGTGGGTGACAATTCAGGAATAAAAAAGTCTATTTCACCTTCTATCTTACCTACTTTGCCACCATCTGTCACCCATAACAATTTCCAACAGAGAAACCTCATTAAAGTGAAAGAATTTAAAAGCTAAAGCCATGATGGCAGCCAAGTGAAACAATGCAGCTGATGGATAGAGGACAAAATCCAAAGTGATGCCCCTCTTCCATTAACGTGTCGAGGTAAAACAAACTGCTCCTACTCTGCTTCTGCTGCCACTCCGATAAGGAACCTGTAGCAAGACTGCATGCAGACTGAAGGGCTCCTATGTTTAATGCTCAGTCTGTGTATGGCATGGCTGACTTGTTTCACAGCAAAATTATAATTACGTGCAGCATTCAGAGTTGTGGCATTTTCACCTATCTTCCCTCAGAACATTATGTGAATCCACTGAATGTGGGTGAAGCAGAGTCTCAATTCACCAAGGCTGTGAGGACTTCTGAATCCATCCATCCATCCATCCATGTACCTGGAGCAGGAGCAGGGCGGCCACTACACTCCTGGTCGTAACAGACACTAAGATGCAGTACAAGAATGAAATAAAAACCCATTAAAGACAAAACAGCAGATTTGCTAGAGAATGTAGGCAGTGAATTTGGAAATGGCCACCACTGTCATACACCATCTGGCCTATAAAAGTCTGAGCAGAAGCACAGCTGCCGAAAACAGCGAAAAGGGAGAGGAGGCACCAAAGACCATGGTTCAGATCACTGTTAACTACAGACCGAGGGACTAAGTAAAGCTGGCAGCATAAAATGAACCAGTTTACCTCAGCGAGAACAAAACCATGTTAAGCAAAGATTCAGAACTCACTGGTACTGCCTTGTCGCTACAATGCAGAAGGAAACCACTTATATACAAAGCTAAGATGCAGAGACAAGTCTCACAGTGCCAACCCTGAGATAAAACAGGCAATACCAATAGCTAAGTGCCTAGCTAAGTTTGTTGACGAAAACCAGTAATATGGCACCACGACCAGCCAGCCAAATTGCAGTCCATTCCACCAACATGGAAGCTGAAATGTACAACCAGATAACCATCATCCGACTATACAGTATATAACGCAAAAAAATCCACCCTGTAATTAAGGTGCCTCTGAATCATCAAATCCAGTATGAAAGCCAATTAGGGGGGAACCTAATTTGCTACACATGCATCCATCCATCCTCCATACCTACATAGGGTTACGGTAACTCCTGTACCTTTCTCTAAAACAACTGCATGGATATTGGCCCTTGTGCAATTTCATGTGCTTGTTATAATATTGACTGAAAACAGATTTCCCATTTAGCACACTCCCTGATTAGGGAATACCATAAACAGCACTGTGCACAACAGGACTCACGCCGCTAATGCGTTTAAGAATCACGTGAAATCATTCCCAAGGAGGCATGACCAGAAACAGTGTCTGCTAAAGTAAATCCAGATACATATTAAGCAGGACCAAAAGCTGAGCATTTTAATGAAATGAGGCCTGATTCCAGAGGCTCAGTGCAGAGGCATGGACTGCAGAACTGGGGGAACCACCAGGGCCTAATCCCGGGAAACATTTGGAGCTTCATTAAGAATACAGTGATAAGCAATCATGAAAAAAAATATCTACAAAAAATGTAAAGCAAATCTATAAGACTTTATTAACAAAAGCCTGAGTTATGTCTATGTTTTTTGAAACAATAATGTGATTTATTGGTGAGACAAACGGTATTGGTTAATCACTGAGTGCTGCGATTTGAAATCTACCAACAAACTGTATTTTTAGGATATATATTAAAGGTTATCATTAACCAAATGGCAACATGCATCCTGTACGCCTGACCCTCCTGTCTTCTCCCTGATGTGGCCCTGATCTTACCCCTCATTAGTCCTTGTATTTAAGTATTTGTTTGTCTCGTCATCCCCAATCCAGTCATTACTGTTGAACCTTCCTGTTGCATGTGTCCTTCCCTGTTTCCAGTCTACCTGGTTTGGATCCCCCTAATTATTTTGAGACTTCATTTAGTTCAATAAACCCCTTTTGTTTCACCACAGCACCTGCCCTTGAGTCTTTCATCCCTCAAATATTGACAGAATGACTGGACCCCCAAAGAAACCTAGTGGCTATTACCTCAGTCCCGGCTTTCTGGCTTCCCTGCATCCTGCAGACAACATTCTGTGTTCTCTGGATCCAGAGACTAGCGAGGTTACCAGAGCCATAGGATCCACCGGAGCCACTCCACCTACAAGTCGAGGATTTTTTCTCCCTCCTGGATGCACACCTTGTGTGGACGGTGCCTGAGGCCAAAGCGCTCTTCATGCAGGCAGGGGAGATAATGGCAGGGCTCACCACAGGCGCGGATCCCCAGGAGGCAGCCAATACAACCCCCTTGAACCCCTAAAATGGCTGGAGACCCCAACACCATAGTGCTCAGTACCCCCTGTGATGTTTCCGTCTCTGTCTCCTTTGTTCCCCTCCTTTTCTATGCTGTAAATTTATAGCATGATCTGTCTTTCTCTGTCTCTTCTGCTCCCTAGTCCTTGTTGATGTTCAATGATCGTCCTTCCAGTTCCTGGTGTGTTCCTGGTGCCTGGTTTCATGCCGTGTTTGGTCTGTTTCATTGATGTGGTTCTGTTGCGTGTTGTTCTCTCCTGCTGTCCTCTTGGTCCGTGGTCCGGCTCCTGCCTTTTTCATGTCCATGGTTGTGCCATGCGTCCTGTCCTGCCCTGTCTTGTGGCTCTACCCCTCAGGTCTTGTGTGCTGTCTACCCCATGTACAGTACCTTGTCAGTCCTGCTGTTCTCTGTCCAGCCTGGTGTCCCTTCTGTCCCCAACCGTGTATGTCCACCAAGGTGTCTTGGTCCCTTGCCTCCTTGGTCCCCTCCCTGTTTCATCCTTTGTGCCCTATTTCCAGTCCTCCCATTTTGGATCCCTTGGCGATCCTATTTTTTTCCAGCATCTTTGTTCACTTAGTTCAATAAACCCCTTTTGTTTCGC